GAGCTCGGCTCCGAGGCCGCGGTCAAGGCCGCGGGCAAGTACCGGCAGGAGGGCAAGAACTACGAGGCGGGGCGGGAGGGTGCGGGGGCCGAAGGCCGGGGCCTCCTCGGGTCTCGAGGACAGGAGCGCTCCGCGCGATCCCAATCATATAGGGGAAGCTTCCTGTACTGCATGCATGGGCGCACTGCTGGGCATGGCTTGGCAGTGCTGCGCAGTGCTCGGGAACCGGAGGAATCTCTCTCGGAAACGGGCAACGTACCCCCCCCCCAGGCACCATTCTTCAAGGGCGCCCTCGAGGGCGCGAAGTTATTCGCGCTTCGCGCTTCGCGGTTCGGCTCCGATTCCTCATCCTCCTCTTCTCCCCTGGGAGGCGGCGCGAGAGCGCGAAGTTATTCGCACTTCGCGCTTCGCGCAGCGCGAAGCGCGAAGCTGGGAGCCCTTGATTCTTCTTCAAGTGCGAACGCCTTAGGCAAGCCTCGTTGGGGAGTCACGACGACAGGTTGTTCGCTGTTTTGCTTGCGGCCTCTGGGGGCCCTGACCGGGCCTCGGGACTATTCCAGAACGGCCCGGGGTGGGAAGCATACCCTTCGGCCGCGTGTGCTCCTGGGTGTCCCGGGTGTTCCGGGCCCGGGTGTCCCGGGTGTTCCGGGTGTCCGGGGTGTTCCAGGCGTTCCGGGTCCGGGTGTTCCGGGTGTTCCGGGTGTTCCGGGTCCGGGTGTTCTGGGTGCTCCGGGTGTTCCGGGCGTCTTGTTTTGGGTGCTCCGGGTGCTCTGGGTGTTCCGGGTGTTCCGGGTGTTCCAAATGTTCTGGGTGCTTTGGGTGCTCTGGGTGTCTGGGGGGCATGATTGTACGGCGTCATCGTTTCTGAGTTTCCAGATTTTGTGTCTTCTAGTGTTGGCGTTTTCGGAGGTCTCCGGGGAGTCATCTGAGGAGTCCACGGCTGACTCCGGAGGACCCCCAAGGCTCAGGCTTCGGGGCCTTTGCAAGCCCTCTTTCCCACGCTTGGAGAGTGAACCTTTTCAAATTCCCTCTCCAGTTCAAACGCAAGCGGGAAAGTGAACCTTTGCAAGCTCCCTTTCCCGCTGCTAGAGAGTGAACCTTTTCAAGTTTCCTCTCCAGACCCAGTAGAAGGGGGAAAGTGAACCTTTTCAAGTTCCCTTTTCCAGACCCAATACAATGGGGAAAGTGAACCTTTTCAAGCTCCTTTTCCCACGCCTGGAGAGTGAACCTTTTCAAGTTCCCTCTTCAGTTCAGGCGCAAGCGGGAAAGTGAACCTTTGCAAGCTCCCTTTCCCGCGACTGAAGAGTGAACCTTTTCAAGTTCCCTCTCCAGTCCGACCACAAAGTGGAAGAGTGAACCTTTTCAAGTTCTTTCTCCCGCAGCTAGAGAGTGAACCTTTTCAAGTTCCCTCCCCAGCCCAAACGCAAGCACGCAGCAAGGAATGAGGGACCCCTCCTGCTGGAGCGCCGGAGCGCTGCCCTCCTCTATCGGCCACGCACCCCTAGGGAAAATACGCCTGCCCAGTGGCATCAGATTAACAACCATCGCTCCGGCTACAATATCGACAATATGGGCGCGGCCTTGGGGGGACCCAGAGCGTTCCAGGAGCGCACGAAGGAGGCGCCAAACAGGTGGCATGCCTCACAGCCAGCCGAAAGCGGGATGGGCCGCAGGCCAGTAAGTAGGATTATGAGAAAGTCTCAAACGAGAGCGCAAGTCCTGAGTTCGAGGCCTCGAATTCGAAAGCCTCCCTGCCAAGGGCTCTCGGAATATATATATATATATATATACACGCATATACATACATACATACATACATACATACATACATACATACATACATACATACATACATACATACATACATGCATGCATACATATATATATATATATATATATATATCTCTGGGGGCGAGGCTGGGGGCCCCGGGATAGGTGCCCCCACCCCCCATGGCGGGACCGGGGCTCATTTTCCCTGTGTTTTTACATGGTTTCCGCGTCCTGGGCCTCGGAGGCCGCCGCCTCCGACCCCCCATGGGCCAGGAGGGCCTCCAGAGGCTCCCAAGACGGCCCAAGCGGGCCCCGAGTCGCCGAAAGACCGCTCCAGGACGCCCAAGATAGGCCCAAGACGGCCCGAGAGGCGCCCCAAGGCACTCCACGATGCTTCAAGACGCCTCTCCAGAGCGCTTCCAGAGGCCGAAATCGTAAAGTTTACAAAGGTTTTCGACCGATTTTGGCCTTCCAGCTTTTCGGCTGTCCGACGTTCCACGACGGCTCAATAGGCCCCCAAGAGCGCCCCAAGACGGCCCAAGAGGGCGTCAAGACGGCCCCAGAGTCGCCCAAGACAGCCCAACAGAGCCCCAAGACGGCCCCAAGATGCGCCCAAGAGGGGGACCACGACTCCAAAATTCGACCCTCCCGCTTGAAGAGTGCCCCAGGAGGCCCCAAGGAGCCCCCAAGAGGCCCCTGGAGGCCCCCAACATGCACCCAGGAGGCCCAAACGAGGCCTACAGAGACCACAAAACAGCCCCGAGGAGGCCCCACAACGTTCCCAAAACGGCTACCGAGAAGCTGCGAAACTGCCTTCACGACGCTCCCGACAGGCCAACCACGAGATCCAAAGCAACACCCATGAGGCCTCTGACCCACCACCCAGGGCACGGTGGCGGCAGCAGTGACAGCACTTGTGCACAGCATGTTCCGGCGGGAGCCTTCCGGAACACGCTGCAGGAGGAGGAGGAAGATCAGGAGGAGAGAGAGCTGGAGTGGGAGGAGGAGGAGGGGGACGAGGAGGAGGAAGAGGCCTCCCAGACAGCTCCAAGATAGCCGAAGAGGCTTCCAAGAGGGCCCTGGGCGGCCCACGAGGGCCCCAAGGCGGTGCCTGAGGCGCCCAAGACGGCCCGAGAGGGCCCCAAGACGGCCCCAAGAGAGGCCCAAGAAGGGAAACATGAACCGAGAATCCGAGCTTTCTACCCCGAGAGGGTCTCGGGAAGTCCCAAGAGGCCCCCAATCGGATCCAAGAGGCTCCCAAGAAGCTCCCGAGAGGGCCGACGAGGTTCCAAGAGATCTCCCAAGGTGGCCCCAAGAGGCACAACACATTGTTTTACGATTGGGCTTTGACGTTTTTTTCTGCCTTTTGGCATCCCGATGCTCCAAGACGGCCCAAGAGGCTTCCAATACCGGTCCCATATAGAGGAAGAGGCCTCCAAGAGGGCCCCAAGACGGCCCGCGAGGGCCCCAAAACGGTGCTTGAGGCGCCCAAGACGGCCCGAGAGGGCCCCAAGAGCCCCAAGAGAGGCCCGAGAAGGGGAACGCGACCCAACAGCAGAGCGGTCCCCCCACAAGGCCCACAGGAGGCCGCAAGAGGCCCCCAAGTGGTCCGACGAGGACCCCAAAAGCTTCCCCGAGGGCCTAAAAGGCCACCAGGAGACGTCCAAGAGGCTTTCAAATAGCCCAAGAGTTCCCTCGATGCGTCAAAACTGCTTCCAGGAGGCCCCTGGGAGGCTTCCGGATTGCCTCAATCTGGCCGCAGGTGGCCTCAAGTCGGGCCTCCACGCAGCCAAGACGGCCAATGACGGCTTCAGATTGCAGAACCGATGCCCCCAAGGGACCCTCAGACGCCCCCCCAAGAAGCACCCAAGAGGTGCCTCCAACAGCCAGTTGACGAAGCATGCGGAACACCCCAGAAGATCCTCAGATGCCGTCGCGCGCCTGTGCTTGATAGCGTTGTCCAAGATCGTCCAGCGCCCCCCCGGCCTGGGCTAGAACCTGAGCGCGCGCGAAGCGCGCGCGATGGTTCTAACCCAGGGGCCCGAAAACAGCTGCCCGACCCTCCATGCGAGTACCGGGGCTCATTTTCGCTGTGTTTTCACGGGGGTTCGGCGTCCCGGGCCTCGGAGGCCGCCGCGATGGTCCCGGACATTTTCCAGATCTTCGGCGCGGGCTCCAAGACCATTCCGCAGAGGGCTCCAACAGGCTCCAGGGCAGCCCAAGAGGGCTCCAAGACGGCTCCAGGAACGACTGCAGGGTCTAATTTTTCTCTTGTTTTCTGCAAGACGGCTCCAGGAAGTCTGCATGTCTTCTGAGGATGGCTTCCGCCTCTTGCCCCGAGCATCCCAAACTGCCTGAACGGCTCCCACTCGCCTTCCTCAAACCCAGCGCTTGCCCAAGCGCGTTCCGGACGGTCTTCGCCGGAACGCGCTGGAATGATCACGCGCTGCGGTTTCCCATGCCAACGTCCTCGGACGTGGGCGCCCTGCCACGAGCGCGTTCCGGGAAGATGCTCCTGGAACGCGCTGAAAAGATATGGCCACATCTCGGGGACGCTCCCGGCACTGCTGCCCCAGCCTTTCTGGGCAGCCTCCACAGCGCTCCAGGAGGGCCCAAGACGCCCCCTAGGAGCCCCCAGAATGCGAAAGGATGGCCCAAGACGCTCCCGAGCAGCCCAAGTCAGCCTTCCGACGGCTCTCGAGGCTCCCAGGTGTTCTTTTCAATGTTTTTGGCTTCTCGCGTTTTCGAGCTCCCATCTGTCCAAGAGCGCCGAAAAGCCTCCATGGGGGTACTGGGGCTCATTTTCCCTGTGCTTTTAAAAGGGTTTCCGCGTCCTGGGCCTCGGAGGGCGCCGCCTCCGACCCCCCATGGGAGGAGGGGCGGCCGGGGAGGTCCAAAATAGTCCAGGAGGGCCTCCAGAGGCTCCCAAGACGGCCCAAGCGGGCCCCGAGTCGCCGAAAGACACCTCCAGGACGCCCAAGATAGGCCCAAGACGGCCCGAGAGGCCCCCCAAGGCACTCCACGACGCTTCAAGACGCCTCTCCAGAGCGCTTCCAGAGGCCGAAATCTTCAAGTTTACAAAGGTTTTCGAACGATTTTGGCCTTCCAGCTTTTCGGCTGTCCGACGTTCCACGACGGCTCAATAGGCCCCCAAGAGCGCCCCAAGACGGCCCAAGAGGGCCCCAAGACGGCCCCAGAGTCGCCCAAGACAGCCCAACAGAGCCCCAAGACGGCCCCAAGATGCGCCCAAGAGGGGGACCACGACTCCAAAATTCGACCCTCCCGCTTGAAGAGTG